TACTCACTTCATTTCTCAATATACTCCCCATTCCTAAGGCACTTAGATGGCACTTAAGATGGGGGAAAGCCTTTGTTGAACTACTGCATTTTCAGAGAATATGGCCAGAGGACAGTAGAGGTACTTTTCTTCATAAGCTGGTTCTGCGTGTGTGTGTGTGTGTGTGTGTGTGTGTGTGTGTGTGTGTGTGAGAGAGAGAGAGAGAGAGAGAGAGAGAGAGACAGAGAGACAGAGAGACAGAGAGAAAGAGAGAGAGATTAAGTTTTCTTTCCAAAAGGTCAAACTATCATGTGTATTTTACCCAATAATTCATTTTTTCTCCCTTTACTAAACCTTCTCAGAATTGCCTGTGTTACACTTCTTTAGTTTTAATTTGGTCCACTCTTCGGTGTTAGTGTTAGACTAACAGTAAAGGGAGGAACAGTCATCAGGAAGAAGGCAGGGAGAGATGAGTTGGTGTGTGAACATCTGTTCCTGAATAATTCCCAGGAGGAACACTTTTGGACAGATGGGCCTGTTATGAGAGATTCGGTCCCTTGCCCCACCCAGTTTATTCTAGAATCAATCCAGCTCTTTTCAGGTGCTTGCTGTTTTGTGACCATGAAAGCATATTTTGAATACTCATTCTACCATCATGAGATTCACATGTAAATCCAAAATCTATCATTTGGTGAATAACACAACAATACAACTGTACAAGGAAACATTGGAAGACGAAGGGAATCACCTCTGGACCCTGGGCATTGATAAATGAACACAGGTAAAAATTAATACAGTCAACTTTTTCCAGCATTTAATGTTTTTATTTGCCATTTATTATAAAAAATTTAATCTTTATTTTACACAAAAGGTACTTTAAAAACAGTAAAGTTTACCAAAAGCTACTGAATCTGAGGCAAAGGGATTTACCACCAAAATGCAGATTTACATGGTAAACCTGAGGGCCAAAAACATTGAACAAAATCTTACATTTTGAAATAATTCATTACCAGAAGCAAAAACCAATTGTACACGTTCCCGAATAGGTGACAAAGATAAAATAACAAATGCCAGCCTTCACTGTGAGCTAACAAAAGAAAATGTCTCATTCAAGTTTGGCCTGTTATTTCACTGAGAGTGAAACACTTGAAGAATTTTAAAAATCTTGTAAATGTTAATATTTAGGCTTATACACAACATACATATGCACAAATACATCCATTCTAACTCTACACCCCTTTGTATTTTTAAATTGCACCATCTCTGTTAGAGATAATATACAGCATGCAGAAGGCATTCATAGTTATTTTTCTCAGCAATAGTGTATTATACAAGTCAAATGCAAGAGTTAAATATGAAATTACGTTCAATTGAAAGCCATCTTAACTTAGTACTTTGGCTCATGTATTCTATGATAATGCTTTAGTGCTGATGAAATTGTTCATATACAAAACATTGAAGAGAATGTAGTCCATACCAAAGGTGCTTAGTAGATAGCTCCCCGTGGATGTAGAAGTGATGGATAAGAAACAGGAAGAAACCAATTAAATAGGGCTGCAGTTTTTTTACTGCTTCAACTTTTCACATCCAGCTGAAGATAATAATTATATCCAGGGCATTTTGCAACAGCTATTAGTTTACGTCATTATATATATATACACACACACATATATATACATATATATGTATATATACATATATACACACACATACATATATAATGTATTCATTATACAAGGCAGACTGCAAAATAACTCCTCCCCTCTCCCACCAGTCTTTCTCATTTCCAGAAAGGAAGAAATACAGATTCTAATGCAATATACAGTTACTGAAAACAAAGTGGACCTGCAGTTATATACTCATGCTTTTGTGGTGACGAAGGGTCATAGGATCAAGTCTAAATAATGCAGGGACGGGTGAAGCCGAACTACTCAGTCATAATTGTAGGAACTGGCTTCCCCGAAATAAATACATGCTCAAGTATCACTGCAAATCCTCTAGCACAAATATATTGTTACTATATAAGTGCTGATCAAATTTAACGGGGTAGGCGAGTGGAGAAGGAAAACAAAATACCTTATATGGATAAGACAATGCTATGTGAATGGAAAGATGGAAAGATGGAAAGAATATTTTACTGAAAACACAAGAAAATAATGTTAAGTCCACAGAATAATTGTTTATTTTAATGGTTTCTCAACTCATCAATATTATGCAATATTTTAATTAAACACAACATTTGAATCATGAAACACTTGAAAAACAGAAAAAAAAAATTTCACTATTCAGCAATAATATTATGCACATAAATCACTGCAGTGCACCCCAGCACACCTATTGCACTGAGATCCTGACGATCTCTATTTACCCTGTTTAACATAAATGTTTGTTAGGTGACAGTGAAATATGACATACAGGGGAAAAATTAAGACTGACGGTAAAGAATGAAAATACAGTATCTATGTGTCATGCAGATGTACCCTGACATAGGTTAGGGAAAGAATGCTACACTTTTACAGGAATGCTCAAAAACACTTAGGTTTTCAAATCAATGTTAAGCATCTGGTTTTCTTTTAAATGTCATAACTAAGGGAATAAAATACTCCATGATTGCAATGAATAAAAAAAATCACTATCCTAGTATTAATCTATAACCTCTTGCAATTTTGGGAAAAATACTAAACATAAAAAACTAATAAGTTATAATTTGCATACATGAAGTATGTGTCTATGTGTGTCTGTGTGCATCTGTGTCTATATGTGCATACAAATAAAATGAATCCACGTCATTGCTAGCATAAGCCATAAACTTTGCTCTGAATAACCTTCACATTTATTTTTTGGAAAATGTATATATACATTCTTGGAAATCAAATGCCAACTAACATTTCGTAATTATAATTTTACAAACTTCATTTAAATGAATATGAATACTTGTAAAATAAAGATCTGCTCCAACAGTGCAGTAAAGATGGTATTAACACCACATTTTGTATGTCAAGTGGTGGTCTCATTTGTCCTCATGTCAGTGCTATGTTGTTTTGAAAGATATCTAAACACTGGTGTAAAAGATTTCAATAAAAAAATTTAAAAACTATGGCATCAAGAACCACATAATTTGTACCAGTAATTATACCGTGGTGTGTGGAAAGCAGCTTGTAATAGTTATTATTAATTCTGATAGTAAATTACCTCTAGAAATTTATATAGGTGATAAGGAAAATTTAGCCAATGATTTTGCAGTTGAACCAAATCAGTGACTGGGCATGGAGAAGTTCTAGCTTGTCAGGTGGATGGTAGCAAATTTGAATTTTGATTTGAAAATTTTTCCTATAAAAGAGGGTAGGATTTTTTATATAAATTCTGGCTAATTATTTGGGCAAAAACATTTAAATACCTCTCCATGTATCACATTCACGTTCAAAACATAATCCTATAAAACACTGGAATTAATTCACATGACAATTCTATTGTGAAAAACTAAAATAACCATCAACTTACATTTTAAAAAATGAAAATAACAAAAAAACTATGGATATAATCCGAATCTGTTTTCTGAAGTCCTAGAAGAAAGTTTCATCAGTTATGCCTGGTTCCCTGAGAACTTGAATGTTCTGACTAAAAGGCAAGTTTTGGTAAGAAGTATATTTTGACACTATTCCTTCCCATTCAGAATAAACCATAATATTTTAGGCAGCTTTTGGTGTTCTATATTCTTTATAGCTAATATTATTCAAATTTCATTTGATGTGAATAATTCTTTTTTCTGAACTTCAGTCCAGGGGTATGTGGTAGGTGAGGGAAGCTACATTTGCTGTACTTTACAGACTCACTTTCATCTTTCCGGAGCAAAGCAAGAAAAAACATATACCACACACAACAATTCTATATACACAGTACTCTTTACCCACGGTGTTTTCCAGTTTTGTCTAGGTGCAGTTAATAGATTTCTTTATAGTTATATCCCAAATGAGGAAGTGGCATCATAATGCCTAGATCCATTACAGAAAAACACATTAAAAATGTACATTTCCCAAAAATGAGTCAATTTTATTCCTTTAACAATATGCATGATAATAAAAGGCCAAACACAAAGCTCTTTATAAAAAGGAGCAAATATATATTCCAGAAGAGTTAGATAAAGGCATGAGATGAATTTCAGTTAAATAGATCTATTTCTTTGTGAGCTTTGAGAACTTATCTTAGACACTGAATAGAGGCTGAGGGTTTTACATTATAATCATAGCTAGAGATTATGAAGATGGAGAAAAAAAGTGTTTTGCTTTAACTCATACTAAATTTCTACAAAGTATTTTAAAATCAATTTAAAAAACAAGTTTTTACCTCTCCCTTCCATCACAGTTTTTGTAAGTAATGAAGAATTGTACCCGTACGATTGCACAGCGACTAGGGAAGAGAGAGGTAGATGACTTGGCCACCCTCTCACAAGGAAACCCCCAAATACTTGAGGGCATTAAGCAGAAGGCTTTTGTTATCCAACAGTAATTAGCTGCAGAGTACAAAAACATTTTGGAGCAGAATGTACACAAACATGAGGATCATAAATAGTCAAAACCAAGTACACTAACAGGAAGTTCTTAAAGAAATGCATATGTTCTATGTACCACACAAAAAATTATTCTTGCAGATATTGAATCCAAGATTCTACAATAGAAAATATTTATGTTTTACATTTACTGTAAAAATTATTAATAAAAAAAGGCTCTAATGACAGACAGGAAATCTTACAGAATACATTAATTTTCAGGATGCCCCTAACATATCTTAAGTGTCCTGCTCCTGTCCTAAGCAAATGCCAAAGGCAGACATTTTTTCAGGGTTCATCATTGTTAAGAGGTAATCAGATTAAGGAAAACTCAAGCAGGCTGGGAAAGGAAGTAAAAATTAAGCCAAAATAGAAATTCTGCCAAGCACAATACACCCTGTTTAAAAAATTTAAGAACATAAATCAAAGACAGTGGTGAGTACAAGAAAATTTATATTGATGAGCTTATGGCCTTGGTGATACATATCAAAACAGGAAGTCAGTTAAAACAAATGTGCAAATAAGTAATGGAGACTGGAGGAGGAAGAGGAGGAAATACCTATACAGTCTTCAAGGTAAAAACTGCAACATAGGAATTCAGTAATTTCATAACCTCCTTTCCATTTTTGATGTGTACTTCTTATGACATCTTAATAAGTTAAAGACCAATTATTCACAAAACCTTAGGTTAGTGTTAACATTTTTTACCTGTTGGATTTAGGGCTAGACACTGAGTTGCTTTAATAAGACATTTAATTATAGTTCATCATAATCATCACTGATTTCTCATCTCTATAACTTAGAAAATTTTACTTCTCATTTAAAGCCCTGGAACATACTTTTAAAAACGATTTTGAGACATGGGTCTCTTTTCTTCCGGTCAACATTTGTCTAAGCACGTCTGCAAACGTTCTGTCACAGGGGGAGGAAGAGTACTGAGCAAATTCTCCTCGACAATCAGACAGCTTCGTTTTAGGGACTGACACCCTTCTAGTTCAGGAGGAAGCGTTTCCAGGTAATTACCAATGAGCTCCAGATGAGTAAGGTTCGACAGCTCACCCACGTGAGGAGACAAATTCATCAAGCTATTTTTCCCCAAGAATAGGCACTGCAGCTTTTTGCACTGAAACAGCCCATCTGGTAACACCTCAATCTGGAAAGGGGGAAAAAAAAGAAGCCAATAAAACTGTGGCTTAGAAATACATTTACTTATTTATACTGCTAGCTACCTTTTCCCAAAAACATTTCTGGAGATTTACAAGGATTCATATGACAATGATGATAAATTTCAAGTAGATGAAAAAGAAAGATGAAAAATAATGATAGGAATATCACAGGGAGTCAGTCTGAGGCTACCAGGAACACCTAAACCCTTGCTGACATGGGTGCGCAACACATGTGGCTCCGAACACTCTAACATGCGATTCTTAAAGAAAACGTAGCTGACATACTCATTGTCCCTAAGATAAAAAACAAAGCAATAATTCAGGAGAACCACATTTATCCTTGAGTCCTGGATCAGAAATAAATTACTCTCAAGAGTCCTCATAAAGAGCTTACTGTGTAATGTAATGAGCAACATCCTTAAAAACATCCTGACAACGGTCACAAGGCTATTTCTTACACTGCTTTTCGGGACTGAAAATTTTATTTTTTTTTAAAAAAATCTACTGAAGCAGAGACAAAAAGATATGATAATACATACAGGTACATTTCATTCCCCTCTGCATACATACACGTACACCTGAGCATTGACCCTCTTCCTGCTCTCTGGAATGGTTTCAGTTAAATCATTCATATAACACAGAGAGATAATTTTAAATATAATAAATAGTCTGCAAATTAGGACAACTCCTAAAGCTGCTCAACTCAACTGCATCCCTAAATGGTGGAGAGGTTTCATGTGACTTCCTAAGGGAGCCACAGTGCACATAGGAAATAGGGTGTACTGGGGAAATCCTTCAGAGAAGCTGAGCACACACAATCCCTTCAACTCATCGCCCCGCCGAGGGATAGGTCTGGGCCGAGCACAGTTGGATGGCACACACCCCACCCTGTAATACTCTACATACTGGGGACGGGGAATGTCAATGAAACTATAAAATAACATAGGATCCTGGGTTCAGGAAGTAGCTTTGTTACAAACAGGGATGAAAGGGGTGCCCAGGGGCTGGGCCTACATCCTCTGATGGCCGACGCAGACCTGATGGGAAATGAGCTTCCAGGGCCATCCAAAACTGTCTCTCCTCAAAAGAATAAATATTCTTTAAGTAAACTAAAAAAATGACTAAATTGCATTCAAACATGCTCCTGAGGTTGGAAACTTCCCTCTCCTATGTCACCCCCACATTCAGTACTGGATATCCCTGAAAATAAATCTAACGATCACCATTGATAAGACCAACATTCAATACAGATCATCGCTACACACCAAAATACGAGGTATAAGCAAAGGAAAAATATCTACCCTTTAATTTCATTGCCTTCTTAGAGCGGATGCAGACTCATACATATGTAGACTTCAATATTGAGAGATGAGGCAGAAGATGCAAAGGAGAAGAAATACACCCCTTTTTAAAGCAACCCCTTCTGCTCAGAGACATCCGTAGCTCAGAACCAGGGTCAGTGATGTCCAGGTGGAGGGAAAAATCAGCCCTGGGTAGTGTGCTCCGTGTTAAGAGTGCCTGCTGGTGACTTAGCAGTGACTTAGGCAAACTGGCTGGAAAGGAAGCAGGCTTGCCTCATTTGTGTTCAGAAAACATGTGCTGAGTGCCTCCCGGTGTGCCAGGCTCCCTGCTAGTGCAGTGCTGAGCAAAACAGATGGCATTCCAGAACTTTAGTCTAACGCAGGCTACCGCGAATATCTCAGCCTCAGCACTGTTGACACTTTGGGTGGGAAAATTCTTGCTGTGGGGCTGTCCTGTGTATTGTAGGATGTTCAGTAGCATCCTTGGCCTCTATCCACCAGCTGCCAGTGCCACTCCTCTTCCCAGTTGAGACAACCAAAATCAGCTGCAGACAAATGTCCCCCAGGGCAAAATCATCCCCAGCTGAGAAGCACTGGTCTGATGGAAGTGAGAACATGAGACGATTGCACAGTCTGTAACGGGTGCTGAGAAGAGCGCCCTAGCCCGAGCTGCACAGAGAATCCCACACCCCCTCTTCCACTGGTTTCACATTTCCAGCTCACTTACACACCTTGCTTAACTGGACTGACTTTCTGCTGGGCAATTAACCTGGAGACACTGCCCTCACTCTCCTGTCTGGTGTCAGCACTACTGGGTTCCCACCAGTCCTCTCAAATCTCTAAATTTGTGATTTCGGTGAACTTCTCAGCCCCCAATAGAGGAGAGACATTTCCCAAGGCAGTGGGAGTGAGGCCCCTGGGGCAGCCCCTCAGTCCCATTGCTGCGAAGGCGAGGCAAAGGCTGCGGTTGGCAGTAACCCTTCCTGGGTGCCAAGTGTCCATGTCAGGGGCTTTCTCCCCAGGTCAGTGCCCAGCTAAGGCGCAGGACCTTCACTCGCCTACTCTGATTCAATTTTCCTAAAGGAGCCTGGGGAGCTTTGCTAGAGATGCAAGACTTTCCTTCAATGCAGCAATTTTTTCCTGAAGAATCTACTTACAACTTTAAAAATAGTTTGCCTTGAAGCTTACAGGACACCAAACACATTTTGCCTGGGCCGACAAATTTTATAAAAATGTTAGCTAACATTTATTTATAATTAATTCATTTAGCATACCCTCTTTTAGACCACAAGAAACATAAACCAGAGAGCAAAAAAACTACCTTAGTGCACCACTGATTTCTTCTCAAAAACCAATGGAAAGGTTTACAGATTATGAGGGACATGATATACTTCATAAACAGAATGATTTTACGGAATAAACTATAATGTGTAATAGATACATATATAAAACACACTACATAATAGACTACAAAATAAACTGAAAAAAAAAAAAAAAAAGAACAACTATGGGCTACGTAATCACTACATCCTAGAATTCTCTGGCAACCAAATGTTTTCAGCAAAATGGATTGGAGCCCCCAGAACAGGATGGTTCTCTTTTATATCTATTACCAATTATCACTGATAATCAAACACTCCACTGTTTCCCAGGGTCTGGGACCTTAGTTCAGAATCCATCTCAGTGTCAGATTTCCTTTTTGTTTCTGGCCAATGACACACACTGTCTCAGGGCACGCTAACCAAACCCATGAAGCCTGATCATTTGAAGACAAAAAGCTAAATATTTCCATTTCTAGGTAGTGATGCCAAAAACAACAAGCACTGTCACATAAATGATATTCGGAAGAAATTTCTACATTATTCCCTTTCTGGCTAGAAGTCTTTGAGTTAATAAAAGTCTTCCACACTTCCACACGTGTGGAAGTTGGAAGACCTGGGTGTAAATTGGAGAGGTTTGTAAGATTTGAGCAAATTTAGTTAAATCTTTGCCCACACCTTTTGCTTCTCCATCACAATCAATGCCACCCTAACCCAATTACCTTTTGGCACAGGGATAGGGATGGATCCTGCCTCTTCTTTTCCCACCTTCCATACCCATCCACACACACCAATGTTCCCCATGTAACATCACTGGGTTGACGCATTGGAGATGTGATAGGAAAGCAGCAGAGGAAGAGCCAGAATACTTGGGTTCCATCCTAGCTCCGTCGCCGAAAAGCTTCAGACTTCAGATGAGCTACTCTGAGCCTCGGTTTCAGTATTGGTGAAATGAGGGCAGTGCACTAGAGTAAGGGTTGGCAAATTTTTCTCTAAAGGACTGGAAGAATAAACATTTTAGGCTTGATGGACCAAGAGGAAAAACTGAAAATATTATGTACATAACAAGAGAGAAAAAATTCCATACATTTTTAAGTGATGGAATTCAAAATATAACAATGGTTGAGTATAATTTTTTGTTTCATTTGTCCCACTAATGAAAAGAATGGAATTTATTCATGGACACTGAAATTTAAACAGGAAGACACCATGAATTTCATATAATTTTCATGTGTCACAAAATATTCTTTTGAATTTTCCCCCCAAGCATTTAATAATATAAAAAACACTTTTAGTTTGGGCTGTATAAAAACAGGCTGTGGGTGGACAGAGTCTGCCGAGCTCTGGACTAGATGACTCGTAATATTTCTTTTAGATATAAGAGCCTTTGTCTCTGTTTTTCATTTATACTCCTGCTTCTAAATCATAACTGATTAAACCTTTCCATGGGGTTTTTTTCTGTGCTGTCCTCTCCCAACCCTTCTGTGTGCTACAGTCAGAGCCTCCTTTGGAGGTACCAGTTCAGGCTAACTAGCACTGTCAAGCTGAAGTCTCACCCTAGCCCCTCCCCAATGAATCAAACATGAACTTGACTGGCAGACTCCCAGGCACTTCTCCTTCTGGCCCACCTTGCTAAATGCTATCATCTCTTATCACATCTGGGCATACCTACTGCAATCCTCTGTGCATGACCGCTACCTTTTTACACTCCCCTAATCCAGTGTGCTCAGGGTGAGCTTCATGGAACACAAGGTGTCTTGCTCAAACACATTCGGCAAACATTGCATACTATATCTCCCTCTTGGGGCAGCACAATGTGTATTCATATGTTAAAGGCTCTGAAGAATCCTGCATCAAAAATATAATAAAAAAACCATTTATTTAATGTTTTTCAGGATGACACATTAGCATCCTTTGGAAGAAACTCTGAAGTGCCCTGTCAGTGAATGTCTGTCACTTGGCGGGACTGCCCAACACCTTCTCATATCTAGGGAGTTTTCTACCTTATGACTCATGGTGGTTAGCAGAGCTCACTTCCCACTAGAGAAACTACCACTACCAGATTCTGTGTTCCCAGCCCTCTTATAGGTACAGTGTGGGCATTTATGAGCTGTGCCAATCAGGTGCTCAGACTTGGACTTTGAGTTGGGGCTAATGTCACAAAGAAGTGCAAATCATGAAGAACTTATTTTGTGAGAGGGCAAGGGCTGCAGTAGCAGTAATGCCAGGTTTTCAGGGCAGGACTGGTGCCTGGTGCTGGTACCATCTGAAGCAGGGTGTTCTTACCACTCTGCTTTCGCACTACGATTTTGGCTACAGTCCTGTCTGCTGCCTGATTGTCTTTGTGCTTGACTGTTTTCCAAGTTTGGTTTATAGTCTTTTTGGTGTAATACAAGGTACCCAGTATTCTTAGAAAATGTCTTTTCTGCTTAACTCAAGAGTTAGTGTTTGTTGCCTCCATCTACAAACCTGACACACTGCCCCAGTCTTGAGAACAGACGTTTAAAGCACTTCTTTTAGAAATCACTACCAGCTACCTTTCCAAATGAACTCATTGGCTTGAGTTCTGAGTATAGGCACATCTACATATTTATGCATCCAATGTGATGCTTTATTCTATAATTTTTATAAATATTTTGATCTGGCTCAGAATCATGAGATCTCAAAGTTAGAAGGAAACTTGAAATTAGTTAAATCCCCACGTGAAACATGAATCCTTGACTCCCTTTAATAACATTCCCATCAAGTGGCTGGCAGTCTACGGACAGTTTTATTAATAATAAAATCACTTCTCCCTCCTCAAATGCTCATTCAATGTTTGGAAAGCTATGTGGGAAAGACGAGAAATCTTCCCCTGCTTGTTCTATTCTAACACTGTGGCTACTCCCAACAAGGTTTACTCTCCATGTAAATATTTCAAATATTTGAAGATCCATATTGTGGACTATTCTCTCTGCCCCACGTACCACACTTCCCATCATAGGGCTAAACTGTGCCATCAGGGAGGAAGTTTTCATCTCCTTAGTGCCTGTCCTGTGAGTGAGTTCAGTTTCTTCATATGCTTGTTACATAGTCTCTTCACAGTCCTTCTTTGACCCTACGTTCTGAGGAGAGTGTTCCTCACCCATTCAAAGTGTCATGTTCCTCAGTTTTTGGCTCTGAAGATGCTCAGCAACTGCTTTTCTTCAAGTTGATGAGACAATCCACTCAAAGATACCATTCTACTCTGGCCATAAAGTACGTTCAGCAAAAGACTTTCATGTGCTACAAAGTATCCTCCCTTATTCAAGCAAGGATGTGTCTGATAGTCACATCTAGTTTCTCTTTCAGATATGGTCAAGAAGTCAATAAACTTGCTGTCAGAAGCACCAATAGTCTTAAGGTTTTATTACATTAACCTAGCAAAAAACATTAACCTGCTCGTATATTTAAACAATGCATGGCCAACTAAAAATATAATCAGCTGCAACTTTCAAAACTCCATGTAGTGATTTAACTGTATAACAGCTTAGTGGAACCTATGCCTTTCAAAATAATTATTTATACTTTTTATTACACATTTAACAATGGAAGAAAATATGGCCAAAATATTAATATTAATCAACTGCACAATTAAGTGGCACAAACGATAAACCTCTGGACCTGTGGTTTTCAAAGTGCAGTCACTAGGCCAGAATCGTCAGCTTTATCTGGAGAAGTCTAGACAGATCGTAAAGTAGTTTTAAAATATTGCAATCCTTTAAGACCTGAAGTTTTCTCATTTTTCTTAGAATGGGCTCTCTCCTTTTGCATACATTTCTCAGAATTTTAAAAATCAGGATGAGTTTTGCTCTCATCCCCCAATTTTTTGTTATTTCTCTAACATCCACGGTTTTCAAAAATAATGTCTGATGATTAACATGTTTATTAGCCAACACCATGTTCACAGCTATATTTAGCATGAAATATGAATAACAAAAGTCTAGGAGATAATACATTTTTGGATGAGGTAAAAGCAGTGCCTGTTTCAAGTAGAGAAAGATCAGTTTCATCCCTTGGCAGACTTGATTTCTGATAGTTCCCCCAACTCCTTCTTTCCATAGGGACATTATTCTCACTCTCTTGTCCTTTAAATGAGCATGTTTTGTGTTTTTGTTTTCTTTTTCCTCCTCCTTCACATTTTAACCTAGGAAACTACTCATTTATTTTGTTTTTTCATGTTTCTGTGAAGTTAAGTTTTCCTTAACTTGGCTTTACTGTTGCAAATTATGGTTCATTTTTAAGCATGGATGCTGGAAAAAGCTTCTAAGAAGCCCTAGTGTTGCATTATAGAGGCAGGCCTTTCATTTTGAATTGTTTCTAGACATATATGCAGATTTAAAATCCTTTTTACTGCATCACAAAAAGGATTTATGAATAATTCATAATCCCAGCATTTAAAAATAAAGAGTTATTATATTATGACAGACTTGGAAAACTGAAAGTTTTATCAAACTCCTAAGTACCTAACACCTTTCTAAAACAAAATGTAATCTCCACCATAACTAGTTTAAAATAACTTTGTGATGTTTATGTAGAAAATGGGGAAAGAGAATAAAGAGAACTAACATTTGTTAAGCAACTATTATGTGCCAGGAACTGTGCCAAATGCTTATATATTTTTTCATAAAATCTCCGTAGCAACTTGTAAGTTACATTAAAACCTGATGCTCAGTGCTTTGGTAATTTTTTCAAGATTGTATGGGATTGGGTTTGGCTCAGAGAACACATAATATGACTTAAAAGTCCACTTTCCCCCCTACATTACACGCTACAAACATGGAAGATGCTCAAAAGGCTAGCTGAATAAAGGGAAGAATGGATTTACTCACGTTGTTGTTGGTCACAGCAAAGTACTGTAAATTACCCAGATATTGGATTTCTTCTGGAATGAAGGTTAGGTGGTTATAGCTTAGATCCAAATAATGGAGTTTGGTGCATAGGAAAAGTTGCAAGGGCAGATTCTCTATATTATTATGGTCCAAAAAGAGCTGCTCTAGGTTGGATAATGCCCCAATCTGTGCAGGGATATAAGCAATGTTATTGTGCCATAACTTTAAGCAGGACAGATTCTGAAGATGCTGAAAGCTAATGATCTCTTCCACAGTTTTAAGGTTATTTTCTTTTAGATCTAACTCATGCAAATTGTTCAGGCTGAAAATAGAGTGTGGGATGCGCTCCAGGTCACAGCTGATCAGTTCTAGGCTTTTCAGATTGACCATCTTTTTCAGGTTGTTCAACACAACTAGCTTGCTCCCCTCGTTATCAAGGGACAACTTATGCAGTGAAGGCAAGAGGTCTGTAACAACTTGCGGGATCCGGGACAGGCTGCTCTTCAAGTAGAGGGTCCTCAGATTTTTCAAGTCCTGAAAGCCCTCCAACTGCATGGTACTCAATTGCTCAGGTAGGACACAGCCTGATAGATAAAGTTCCTTGAGGTTCTTCAGGTGAAATACCCAGCGTGGGATTTTTCCCATTTCAGTAAATTTCAGGCGGAGGATTTTTAAATTCTCCTCCAGGAAGGCCAGTGCAGGATGGTCCACCACCAGGGACGAATGGTACACTCGCAGCTCCCTGAGGTTGACCAGCTGCGAGACTGCGGAGGGCAGCTTCACCTCGGGGATGAGCTCCAGGCTCAGCACTTCCATTTCCGTTAACTCAAAGACATTGTCTGGAAGACCGCTGAGCATAAAAAGATGCAGTTCTATCTTGTCCTGGGAATTTTTCACAAGCTTACTTTTCAGTTTCTCAACTGTCCACTCGTTATTGAGGTTGATCTGTTTCAGTTTGTTCTCACTGACCTCCGACAGGAATATGGAGAAGCGTTTGGAATACAGGGGGTCGTACTGGTCAGCCAGGTGAAGGATGAAGGCAAAGTCATTCTTGACGTCAGGGATGTCACTGTAATTGCTTTTTTCTCTTAACGCCTCGAAGGAATATTGCTTCAGGGAACTCCTCAGCATCCACCACAAGCTGTAGGAGGAGGTGAGACCATAGAGTATAACCAAAATGACATAAAATGACGCCAGGACCTTAAATATTTCTGCCAAGGAATAGACACACTGGTAGCGCTTATAGCCTGTAAAAGCCTGCACGTCAATGGAACAGTCGATTTCAAGAGAGATGTAGGTTAAAAAATAGGGAACGTAAGTTATGATGAGGACAAACAAAATGACTTTGACGATTATCTGCTTCAGATACACCCGATAAATGATGTCCTTCTGCTCCACGTGTAGGCGGAATCGTTTCACCTTTTCAAAGATGGCTTTGGCCTGCTCGCCCTCCTTCTTGTCCAGGACGCTGGAAGTTGGGCTTTCTATGCTAGCTGACTCCAAGCCCGGCTGCGGGTAGGGCAAAGACTGCTTGTTGGAATCAACATCAGCTGAACACCCTGAGGATGAAAGCAAAATCTTGGATTTGGAGAGTTTCAGGGGCCTCACTGACTGCTCGGCCACTGTTTCTGACAGGGCGCGAGTGGTCCATGGAGAATCGAAGCACTTGTGAAGGATGGCCACAAAATGCTCGAGCCTGGAACTGGTACTGGGGTAGTGAAGCCAAAAGTTGCTGCAGGCTGCAAAGATAAGCGTGTGCAAGAGCACCAGGTAGGGGAAGAACTTTGCAAACCAATGGAGCTGTTTCTCGTAACAGACAGCATCGATGTAGGAGTACTGCTGGCGGTGAAGGTCATTCTGGATTTGGAGGGGGAGCGGAAGCGGCGTATCAGGATTAGAGGATGCATTCATGCTGGCTTTCAGGATGTCCCAAGGCACAGCACAGTGATTGTCAAATTCCACTTTGCATGGAAGACAGCACAGAACCCTGCTCTGTGTCAGCTGGAGAGCTCCGGCCAGCACGGCCACCAGCAGCATGATCAGGGTGATATAATACCAGAAGACGTCCCACCATGGTTTTAAGATGTGATAAGATGACTGGGCATCTGCTAAGCATTTTAGCTCTGTTAGTGTAATCATGACTTTCCCTTGTAGGAGTACAGAACCTGGAAGAGGAAAATAAAAGAAACACTACCGAAGCAAGTACTCACACAAGCATTTAACTCTAATGCTTATACATATACACCCTCCCTGAGAAGGATTTAGCTCAGGGGTAAAACCCAAGAGGCAGGGCTGATCAAGGGCACATAAGTCTTCATGGGCCATCTCAACCCAGCACTGTAAAGTCTCCTACATGGCAGGCCATTTGGTGACAGCCAGGCTGGACCTGTAAAGAAATTTGCAGGTCGCCCTCAAGGCAATTATTTAGTTACCTCCTGGATCTCAACTCTGGGCTCAGCTATTAAAAACCAGGAACCAATTTTTCTTCAACTTGACATTGGAAAAAATTGTTCTTATGCTACTAATTTCTAACAGTCACATTTATACCCTCCAAAATATCTGAATAAGCTCCTTTTCCTGGTCCTGCCCCACGTCTGGAGCATCAGCTGCAGCCTGAGAGTTGTTTCAATCACAAGGAGCCTCTTTGGAGAAAGCTCTGCCTTATAAAATCATCCCCTAGGCTTAGAGGGATCTACTGATTCTATGCCCAAAATAAACTGTCAGTGAATGCATTATCTCCTTTCCTCCAAGCTCTCGCTCTGTAATTCAAGTCCATGACTATTTAAAAACTTAGGATATTTAAAAGTTGAGAAACAACAGTAATGGCCTAAAAAAGGATAGGGAAGAAAAGCCCTGTTAGAATACTCTATCATGGGGACTCCCTCTCATGTTTAATGCTATGATGCAAAGTATTAAAAGGATAAATGATTAGGCATGTTCTATTATTAAATTATTATTGCCTTCAGAAAAGCAAGATGATTTTTTATTTTCATGTTGAAAAGTATTCAGAAAATATTCCTGAGAATTTCTGTTTAGCCTTATGTACATCAATTATTTAAAAAATTGGGCCAGGCACAGTGGCTCATGCCTGTAATCCTAGCACTCTGGGATGCCAAGGTGGGAGGATCGCTTGAGGTCCAGGAGTTCGAGACCAGCCTGAACAAAAGTGAGACCCTGTCTCTATTAAAAATAGAAAAATCAGCCAGGCATGGTGGCACATGCCTGTAGTCCCAGGTACTCAGGAGGCTGAGGCAGGAGGATCAGGTGAGCCCAGGAGTTTGAAGTTGCTGTGAGCTAGGCTGACGCCATGGCACTCTAACTAACCCAGGTAACAGAGCAAGACTCTGTTCAAAAAAAAAAAAAAAATTGCTAATTAGTAAAATCCAGACCTTCTGTACAATGGCACAGAGTAAGAGAAAAGGAAATAAACAGATTGTAATGATATCTGGTATGAAAAAGAAAAAAAAAATCATGGTATCATGGTCACCCTTCACTAGTCATCCACTTCTAATCTGTGCCCAAAGGCTTCTCCTGGACTTTCTTGAGTCTGCAGTCTTATCATCTATCCTGGGCCTGCGTTTCTCTTTGGATACCCTAGCACTGGCAGCACCTCCAGGGAAGCCTGCTTTGCTCTCATTAGTTCTCCTTGTGGAGACTGGTATCCTGCCTTGAATCCTAGCATCCCACTAAAGAGGCCCTGCTCCCTGCTAGTAAGTACATTCTCTTTTGCTGGTCATCTTTAGAATATTCCTGACCCTTTGACCCTGCTTCATGCTCTCCCACCTGTTAGGGTATCCCACAATCCCTGATTTTAATTGCTGGACTGGAGTACCACTTATTGCCTTTAGCCTTTCTGGGCATTGAATATAGATTCAACTTCCTCCTAGGATCTGAGGCTTGATTATATAACTCTCCAGGGCATCTCTCCTTTACTCTAGTTTTGTGGGTCTATTTCTAACTCTCAATTCCTCTCATTGTGCCTCACCTCCTGCCTCAGCCTCCCAAGTGGCTGGGACTACAGCCTCACATAATTGTGTATCAAGGCAAGACAAAGATCAAAATGAGAGGATTACATGAGACAAATAGTCCTGGACTTAGACTTCAAAATACCACAAACATGATGGGAGAGGGCCTGGCAGAAAACATTGCTGGATGAAAGAACATGTGAGAAACACCTAGAGATTTTAGTTGACGTGTATGCATACTTTCAGCTGATCATATGATAGCTATTATGCTAAAACATTGATTATAACCTTTGGCCATATTAACAAGTGGGCCCAGATAATGGGGCAACAGTCCTTCTGTGCTTGCCTGGTGCTGTCACAACTGGAACCCAATGCTCAGTTTTAGGTTAAAGATGAAATGGGCAAAAAATAATTAGGAGCTACTGTCTACAAACCACTTGCTACGGAGGAACATAGGTAATTGGCGATACACAGCTGAGATAAAAGATGACTAGGTGAACCTGAGAATTTATCTTTACATTTTTGTACAACTATCTCATGGATGAAAGAATAGGTGGATTTGTTCCAGAGGTAGAAGCAGGTGGGTGGAAATTTTAGGAAGTCATATTTTGATTCAGTATCTGGTGAAACATCACTGAACTGGCTGCTCTGTGTAACAGTTCCTCTCCCTATCTTGAGCAGGGTCTAGATAAATAAAGTGACCATACATCAGGGATGTTGCAACAGAATTTCTTGTGTAAAGAGAATGAACCGGACAATCTGTATAGGCTCTTTCAGTTCTAAGTTCATGATTTTATCTGCCCTCTCAAAGGCCCGGAGAGTCAAATTTACTTATGACAGGCAACTGAAATTGCAGAATGAAAACATCACTAGCTCTAACAACCATAAGGGTATTTAACAGAGAGTGAATATTAATATTTATTCAATAAAAAGTACAAGTCAACATTGACCAAAATAATGTACTTTAAATATTTATACTTACTATAATGAAAAAATGAATCAAATAAATCAGTTATGCTTCAGTCAGGAGGTCTACACCTTTTGAAATTTCTTAGACACACCATCTCTGTGTTTGTCTTCATTCTGTGAGAAAGCATAAACATCTTGAAATAGCTATAGTCCTTCCAACAAACAGAAGAAATTGGAGATACTGTCTTCGGAGACCCTCTCCATCATAAGACATAAGGCAAATAGATTTTCATAGCTCAGTTTCCTTTTCATACCAGGGAACATTCTGCAAAGCTGTATCTACAGGACCTCATCCACATTCATCAAACCATACTCATTCCCTGAACTCTCCTTCGATTACAGAGATGTTTCTACAGAAATTTAGATACAACATATTTTAAAATTCTGTATCTACAACACTTTGATGAACACTTAGCTTTTTCCAAGTAATCTACATATGTTAATTTCTCTCACTCAGTCCTCATACACAGTTGTTCTTATTTGCATATATCAGATGGCTTGTCAAACCATGTGATTTCTGTACCCTTATTTAAAATCACACATCTATCCAAATAAGAACTCGCAGTGCTCCTAAAATTGAGCCTACCAATTTCATTGGGAACAGTCACAAGTTAATATATTTTTTCAGTCACAGCTCAGAAATATGGCTGAAATCCCCTGAAATTCTGATATCATTAAATATAGCTAGCCTTTATATTAGATTTTCTTTTTTACTTTGTAGGTTAATAAAAGCCATTCTTAGCATATATGCTTCAATCATTTGTGATAGTTTAATTACATATACACAGTTAAGTTTGAATTGTGAGAAAATTCTGAAACACTAGAATTTTTTTTTAAATGAAAGGGAAAAATAAAATTTTTAAAGCCCAAGGAAACTCAAAAAAAGCCCCGGGAAAATTTTTACATTTTCCCCGAAGATATGATCCATTTATTAATTTATTAAGTACTTGAAGTCCAGCTAAGAACTGACCTCAAACTGTATTTAAGATATTTTTAGCAATAACCTTGTCCCCTTGTCATTTCAAATATCAAAAAGTTGGGCATGTCCTGAAATTTACTTTGGGTTTACCAAGTCATGTGAAAAGCGTATTTTATAATTAATCACCATCCAGTATCAAATAGTTTTGCAGGTTAGAAAGCACAGTTGGCCTGTATAACACCCTAGCTGTGCACTAATTCATAATAATGTGACATTACTGGAGAATGACTTTCTCATTCATAATTCACAAGCCTTTATAAAAGGCTTACAGCATGTAATACATGACTGCATTTATGTGCATTGAGTATGTAAAAGACATCTGATGTGTGAAACATTTTACATATTCTTCCATAGCATTGCATCTATAACATGCCAGAAAATAATTCATTACATAATTCCAAATATTACATAATTACATACTCAGCCATCACGATCCTTCTTATACGATAGTTTCCCTTAAATATTATAGATACATTTTCTACTTTATTATTAATAATCTAATATTCATTTTTCTACTTTCAAAGCTTGTTTCATTTACATTAATTTGTTTTATACTTATAACAAGCCACTACGATAAAAAGAATTATTCTTCACATTTTATAAACATGGAAAATCAGGCAGGCCCAAAGAATTTATCTTGTCCAAAATGACAAAACTGGCAAGAAATAAAGTTACAACTGGAACCTGGGTCCTCGGACTCAAATCCCAACTTCATCCACCCCAGACTACATGGTTCAGTCAACCCAATTAACTGTGCTACAGTCTCAGTTCTCTCAAAAGCTGAAGAAAAAGTTATTTGGCTTTCTTCCCCAATTCACCCCAATATCTGAATTATTACTGGGTTCTATTATACTTTTTTGAATAGGATGCTAATGTTTTCTGCCAGGTCTTTGCCTGCATACTATATAATTTACTTTCAGATAAAGATTTTTCTACAAATATTTTTTACTGAACTATCTAAGCCTTAATATTTAAATGTACATCATCTGGATTTAAGGATACATGAAAGTCTCAAGCATTCCTATATATTGAATTATGCTAATTTTTCTAATTGAAATATTTCACTGGAGAGTTTGACCATAGCTGTCCTTTGTCATCAAGCCATTTAGTACTGTTTGTGTGTCCTGGAAATTTTTTCCAGACCACATTTTAGCAAATGATGAGGATTCAATCCAAATGCATTTTCTATTTCTAATATACAAATGTACTAAATCAGTTCAAGGAAATAATGTTAAGAGCAATGATTTTATGGTTCTAATCCATTCCTTTAGCTTTTAAACCTCATTAAAAAGTCATAAAACCTTTTCAAAACACATGAATTCACTTGACAATCTCACTCCAAAGTCTCTAAGACTGTAAAACTGTAACATCAACACTCAAGTTAGGCATCTTTACTTCCCAGTACTTCTTATTTTACTTTCAAAGCATTTCTAAAATAACCAGTGAAAAAATAAACAAATGATGATCAGACGGTATTTAGAGTCATTATATACTGAGAACTGGATGCTACTTCAAAGATCTGTCTCTGACCCCAGGCAGGGATTATAGCCAAACAATTCACAACAGCAGCTCTCTACACTACTCTCACTGAAAATTGATTTTATTTTACTTTATTTTTTCCTTTTTTTTCTAAATTTCAGCATATTATGGGGTACAGATGTTTAGGGTACATATATTGCTTTTGCCCCACCCGAGTCAGAGCTTCAAGCATGTCCATCCCCCAGATGGTACACACGGCACCCATTAGGTGTGAATATACCCTTCCCCACCACCCCTCATTGATTTTAAAATCACCTTATATTCCTTCAAAATGTTTAGTGCTACTTCCCATCAAGATGTTTCTTGAGTCTAATAGATATCTAATCGAAATTTAAATTCACCTCTTTGAGTTCCCTCGGAAACAATGCATCAGTACTTCTGATTAATTTGTCCCTTTCTTTATACTAAATGACCCCTTTAACCACTCTTCAGAGATCTGATAACAAGCACTGAACATTTCTCAAGTACTTAAATCATCACGAGCAATAATACTTAATATACCAGTAGTCTGTATCCTCCTTACCAGTTTTTTCATATCTTGCCAGTGCAGTGATTTTCAAATAATAAACATACTTCCCAAACTTAGTTGTAGTTTCGAGACCTAGAAAGAAACTAAGATTTATCTAACAGTGTTTCTCTAACATTAACGTCCTTAAAAATCACTGAGAGCTTATTAAGCACAAAGGGATAGGTCCCTCCCTCAGAGTTTCTGATTCGTTAGGTCTGAAGCACGTCTCCACAATGCGCATTTCTGACAAATTTCTAGTTCATGTTGACATTGCTGGTCCAGTGATCGCTTTGGAGAATCACGAATCTAAGATAGTGATTTTCAGTCTTGACTTCACATAAAACCCCTGGGGCACTTTTAAAAGAAACCTAAACCCAGGCGCTCCCTCCCACACAGCAATTCAGTCGGTCTAGGGTGAGGCCAGATTTTTTGTTTTTTTTCCCAAATCTCCCCAGGAGGAGAGAGCATACAAGATAGACTAGCAACAAAGTATCTGGGAAAAGTGCCTACTACCTTTTAAGTCTTCTTGGAAGTTGCACTAGATGTCTAGGATGCTCCCTCCCCTCCATAGACTACAAAGCAACAGCTACCCTCTCGTGCATGAACCATGCAGAGATTTAGGTACTCAAGGCAGGAGAACAGTGAGTCACTGAGCCACAGAGATTTGCAGGATGGATTAGAAAAAAGGGGGCCCAGCTGAAAGGCTATTTCAATTATGTGAGTGAGAAATAATAAAGAAAAATTTTACAATATGTTTGAAAAGAAAGCAAAGATGAAATAGTCACTGTACGTTAAAACTCAACATCACCCAGCAACATCCAACAGAAAGATCCATGGAGAAGCAGGAGTGAAATGGACTCAGATTTTGATCCTATGCTATTATAGTGTCTTACAGCTTCTAGCACATGATGCACAATAAATATTTACACAATAACTAAATACACAAAAGCAGGAAAAAATTCCAGCCATTCAGATGTTTAGGCAGGGTGTATTCAAGGTGACAGAGCCTTTCCCTGGGGGAAGCAAGAGGCAGCATACAGATGGAAAGATTTTCACTAACTATTCTGCATATTCCCAACCTTGATAGCTTAAAAAAATAGGTTTTATTTCTCAAGATTCGGTGGGAGGTTTTTACTTCATGGTGTTGGCTGGCACAAAGATGACTGGAAGGTCCAAAATGTCCTCGTTCCTTAGGTTGGTAGTTGGTGCTAACTGCTGGCTGGTAACTCCTTTGTGTGAGACTCCATGTGGCTCTTTGTGAGTCCCCACTTAGCATGGGGGCTGGGTTCTAAGATGGTGCATTCCAGGCACAGAAGTGAAAGCTGCAGATCATTGAAGCTACACAGTGCCAGGTTCACCAAAATCTACTGGTCTGAGGAGTCACAAGGCCAGCTCAGATTCGAGGGGAGGGGAAGCAAACTTCACCTCTCAGCGGAGGAGTGGCAACGAATTTGTAGCCTGGCTTTATCCTCCACAGTCTACTCTGGCCACAAATGATTATATTGCTCCACATGCAAAGCACACTAACCCTCTCCCGAGTCACCCAAAAGTTTCATCCCACTATGGCATCAAATTTGGGCCTGAAGTCCAGGATCTTGTCATCTAAATCAGGTCCAGGATGCTGTGGGGCAACACCCTTGAAATTCTTAGAAGCCCTTCCATCTAGCTGACAGGATCCAGGAGGCCCTCACTGCCTTAAATCTTTTTGAAGTTTTAACACCAGGTCTTACAGCTGTGCTTTTGCTTTACTTTCACCTCGAGGCCAAGTTTTACTGGCAGTAGTGATCGGATCTGATCTTTGGACCTGAGGCCATTTCTTTGAGTACCTTTTGCTGCATAGGGGAGCTGGAGATGACAAACAGTTTTACTTATGACCCTAGAAAATTCTGGATTAGAAATATTTTCTCTAGAGTCTGTTTAAAATCTGAACAGTTTCTTCTTTAATTCATATCTTTTTTGCAATTCTTTGATCATAAGTGGTTAAAAAAGGGAGTCAATTGCTGCTTCTGATACTCTGCTGGAAAATCTCCTAAGCGAGATCCACAGGGTCATTAGGCTTATTTTCTATGTCTCATGTTACTGCAGGTGATAGTCTTGCTGATTTTCCTGTTGATATAAAGCAAGGGTGCCATTTTACATTCTCCAGTAGCAACAGTATTCTTATTGCCCTCAGGACTTCACTGCCACCTGGTCCCAAAGCCAATGCCGTGTTTTTTGTTATGGTGGCACCTCACTTCTGGGTACCAGTTTTTCTTTTGGTTCTTTAGTCTGTGTAACAAAGCACACCAAAACTTAGTGGCTAAAATAACAATTCATGATTTCTTGTGATTCTGTGGAATGATGAGGCAGCTCATGTGGTGTCGGCTGGAATGCTGGAATGGTTAGAAGGTCCAAAGTGCCTCAATCACAGGGCTGGTACTTGGGCTGGCTGCTGGCCGAGAGCCCAGCTTGGGCTGCTGACCAGGGGCCTTGCCAGTCCTCCGCATGGCTGATTAGGCTTCTGCACAGCAAGGGGCTAGATTTAAGAAGGAATGTTTCCAGCACACAAAAGCAGAAGCTACAAATCTCTTAAGGCACTGCCTTGGAAATTACTCTCCGCCATTTCTGCCACATTCTGTTGATCAAAAGAGGTAACAGAACCAGCCAGATTCAAAAGGAGGGGAAGAGAAGAGCTTGATGGGAAGACCTGCTAAGTATTAGCAGCGATCTTCAGTCCACCATGGGGAGCTATGTGCTTTTAAGTAGTGGATAGTGCCACATAGAAATGAATTCTTTGAGAGAAAGAAGTAAGTGAAGAAGAGAATCTCTGTCCCCTCGATAAAATATCAGATGAGGAAGGATTATTAGACAAGGAAGAGTAAAAGAGGATAGAGAAGCCAGGTTAGTGAGATAAAAGCCACAGTATTTCCAGAGCACAGAAGTCAGAGTTATAATGACAGAAGCTGACATCATAGTCAATTAATACAGAGAAACCAAAGGAGAATAGAGCCACGTAACTACCATTGCACAGCTGTTTATACAAAGCTGTAGAATGATAATGGGTCTATGAAACAATCAGGAATAATACTCTAGGCCAGGCACAGTGGCTCACGCCTGTAATCCTAGCACTTTGGAAGGCTGAAGAGGGAGGATCACTGGAGGCCAGGAATTTGAGACCAGCCCAAGCAAGAACAAGACCCCATCTCTACTAAAAATGGAAAAAATTAGCCAGATGTGCTGGTACAAGCCTGTCGTCCCACCTACTTAGGAGGCTGAGGCAGGA